TACTAAATCATTGTATATAACCATTTATTTCCTAGGTGATGGGGATGTAAACATATTGTAAGTAGAGAATAATCTTCCATGTGTATAGCTTTGGGTAAAGATTCCAAAATCACTGTGTTTTACAAAGAATAAAAATATCTTGGATAGTATTTTGTACTTTTTCTACCCATAAATTATTGAAAAGTTCTAAGCTTGAAATCTTTGGCTAATAAATTATCTCTTTTCTTTTGGAGACACTTTATCTTAAAATAATTCCAGTGCTGAGAAGGAGAAAAAATGTTAGGCCAAATCAATATTTGTCTTCCTGTTTTGAGAAACAAAGCTATGATTGTCTGGGAGGGATTTCAGACAGCCCCTTCTTCCAACATGGGCCCACCTGACATGCAGATTGTGGACACAACTATTCACATACGGATCCCTTGAGGGCAGTTCAATGAGCACAGCAGCAATGGGTCAGGAAAAGTGCAGTGCACTCAAATCTTGCGTTTTTTAGAAAGTGTGAACCTGTCTGGCCTTTTCGGTTCTTCCTGCTTAGGCATCTTGAAATGTCTCCTTTACTCTGGATATTTTTCTGTGTTTGTCTGTTGCAAAAAAATCAGTAACAACAAAGAGTTCTCCCTTAAAGTCTAACAAATTTGGTGTAATTTAAGCCAGGCCTACACAAACGGTGGCCTTCCAGGTGCCACAACCCTCAGTAGTCATGCTGTGAAAATCTCTGAATTTTTAACAATTGTATAGAAAGAGGAATCCTTAAAGAACAAGAATTAGCTGAAGTAGATCAGCTCTTTAATAAAAATAGGAATTTTTTTTTTACCTTCAGCTTGCGACATTGTAGCTACAGAATTTGGATACAGGGTTTTGTCGTGTCAGAGCAGCCAGTCCATTATATTACATTTCTAACAGAACAAAGCAAACAAACCGAAAAATACACAAGTTGTGAGTTTGGTAGCTGGTTAAATGTCCTTTGACCAGTATCTGGCCACTTGGAGTGCTTCCGGTGTTGCTGCAAGAAGGTCCTCCATTGTGCATGTGGCAGGGCTCAGGTTGCATTGCAGCAGGTGGTCAGTGGTTTGCTCTTCTCCACTCGCATGTCGAGGATTCTACTTTGTAGCCCCATTTCTGAAGGTTGGCTCTGCATCTCGTGGTGCCAGAGCGCAGTCTGTTCAGTGCCTTCCAAGTCGTCCAGTCTTCTGTGTGCCCAGGAGGGAGTCTCTCATTTGGTATCAGCCATTGGTTGAGGTGCTGGGTTTGAGCCTGCCACTTTTGGACTCTCGCTTGCTGAGGTGTTCCAGCGAGTGTCTCTGTAGATCTTAGAAAACTATGTCTAGATTTAAGTCGTTGTGCTGGCTGATACCCAAACAGGGGATGAGCTGGAGATGTCTCTGCCTTGGTCCTTTCACTATTGGCTGCTACTTCCCGTGGATGTCAGGTGGTGCAATACCGGCTAAGCAGTGTAATTTCTCCAGTGGTGTAGGGCGCAGACACCCCGTGATAATGCGGCATGTCTCATTAAGAGCCACATCCACTGTTTTAGTGTGGTGAGATGTGTTCCATACTGGGCATGCATACTCAGCAGCAGAGTAGCACAGCGCAAGGGCAGATGTCTTCACTGTATCTGGTTGTGATCCCCAGGTTGTGCCAGTCAGCTTTCGTATGATATTGTTTCTAGCACCCACTTTTTGCTTGATGTTCAGGCAGTGCTTCTTGTAGGTAAGAGCACGGTCCAGAGTGACTCCCAGGTATTTGTGTGCGCTGCAATGCTCCAGTGGGATTCCTGGAGCGACCAGCATGGATACAGGGTGGGATATAAATATCTTAATAAGATGTAGTAACATACATATTTTGTAACTATGAAAGGTACAAGTGACCCTCCTATCCATCCAAAAACAGAAATATATGTTTTGAGTGCCAATACTCCTTGTCTCCAAAACTAGGCAAAGTGTTGTATTTTCAGACCTCTTCTCCAGCAAAGATCTTAATCGACAGTATTTAGATTGGACTGGAAAACAAAGAGCTTTTTCCTGACTTTTGCTACTTGTGTGTGGGGAGTCAAATGGAGCCTCCACATACTTACCTGAGATTAAAAAAGAACATCTCAGCTATAAGCTATGTATTTCAAGTAGTGTGTAGTTAAGCCCTTTAAAATATGTGACTACTATACATGTCACCAAATCTATGTGCCACTTGCCTGATGTGGAGCCTTCTACAAAAGTATAAAAAACACCTTATTAAATGTAATAGCCTGTGGATCCAGTTAGTACTCTTCACGCTGGGTTCTGTGTTACAGTCACTATAATTATGTGTGAGCGGTCTGTCTCCTTTCCTCCCTGTCTGCCTGCATGTAGGACCTCTTGTTATATTCAGTTTAATGATGGGTCCAAGACCTCTTGCTTCCTGCCTTCAGCCCCCTGCCTGACTGCGAGTAGGCCTTGTTGTTACCGTCAGTGTAATTATGGGTATTTGGCCTCTCTTTGCCTAAGGTGTAATTTACTTTATTTAAAGTGTGGTCCCACCCCTCTGAAGTTGCTGCACTCCGGCTGCTCATCACATCTGTAAATTGTTGCTATTCTGAGTACTGAATGGGAGCAGGAAGGGGCTCTAAAGGAGGGGTCAGGATGGTGAGTAGGTCTGTGAATGAAGCTGGAGCTGCACAGAAGGGCGAATATAAGGATCAGTCTGTCTGCCCTCCTAGAGTCTCAGTCGGAATTTTGCCCCTGTTTGCACTGAATCCAAGTTTCATTTTATGTCTTCTTGTTCCTCTGTAGTAAACAGGTTCCATCCCAGCTCATTAAAGTCGCAGCCGGTCTTTGGCTGTGATAGTATCACTCCTTGCATATAACTGACAGCACATTGGAAGAATCACTTGGGATGGTAATTTTTTACAGCAGCACATCATGGGGTAGCCTCTCGTAGAATATGGTAGCAATGTGCACTGGAGCATACCAGTTTTCATATCTCTGTGCATATCTCTGGGCCCCAGTTAATTTCATCCATGTGAAAATTACAAAGCACATATATTTATTCCTTTGAAATTGTTTGTATGTTTAACAAGGATGTTGCATGGGTCACACAGAAAACCACCTGATGAAGTGTTGATTGCTGGTGTTCTTTTTCACATTCCTGAGACTCGTTGCAGTTCAGAGCATTGAGAACTGCAGTAGACCACAGTTTGAAACCTCACTTAGGCATGGAAACTCGGAGGCCATCCAGACAGTCCCAAAATGGAGGCCAGTAAAAACCAATTCATTTGGAACAAACCAAGGTTTTCTCGGTTTAGTCCAAATGAAGTAAATACCTTATTAGATCCAGGCCACCCTATATCTTTTGGGCTCCTGGACCCCAAAGGTGTGGGAGGGTGCCCACTTCATTTCCCTCAGCCCTTTTAAAACTTACTGAAAAGGTCCCTGACTGCCATAAATCCTCTTCTTGTGAGGAAATGACACACGAGGAGACTGGGGGCGGGGGGAATCAGGAAGAGTTTTCCTCCTCACCTCTCCCATCTCCAAACCAAGATTGCTCAATCTATTACATTACAAAATTTCAGATAGGTAAAGGTAAAGGTTTTCCACTGACATTAAGTCCAGTTGTGTCTGACTCTGGGGGTTGGTGGTCATCTCCATTTCTAAGCCAAAGAGCCGGCATTGTCCATAGATACCTCCAAGGTCACGTAGGTAGCATGACTGCATGGAGTGCCATTACCTTCCCATCAGAGCAGTACCTACTGATCTACTCACATTTGCATGCTTTCGAATTGCTTGGTTGACAGAAGCTGGGGTTAACAGCAGGAGCTCACACCGCTCTCCAGATTCAAGCCTGTGATCTTTCGGTCATCAAGTTCAGCAGCTCAGCGGTTTAACCCATGATGCCACTGGGGGTTCAAACTTTCAGATACTACATTTGAAAAGGTCATCATGGTTCTCGGATTTTCTCTTCATCAGGATAAATATAGAAAACCCTCGCATAGGACTACGTTTTGTAATCTCAGTCACTCTCCTGAAAAAAACAAAGTTAATTTATGCAGTATACCATAGCATTTAGTGCATCATAGCACATGGCCAAGTAGATGTACACAAGTAGACTATTATGCCAAGATATGGTCAAGCCTTTTGCTTGTTGAAGTTAGCTTCATAATACCTCTATCCTTCTGTTTTCTCTGCAATGGAACATTTCCATTAATTAACCATAGTTTCTCATTACATCTAAATCAGACTGCAAGAACTGGGATAAGCTGTGGTCTTAAACCACAATTTGAAATGGGTTTACATTCCAGCTTAGGTTTCCTGGTAACTAGAGTTAGTCTTTCAAAAATGGGAGGAAATAAACCTGGAATATTTCTGGAATACAACAAATAATTTCATCATGTCCTAACCATTTCTCTACCTGAGAAGAAGTGGAGATTCAATGCTGCCAGATTCAGTATAGCTAGGCTAGTATCTATACATTGGTATAGGTACTTAGGATCTTGGTTAGTATTTCAGAATGGGATGGATACCAATGCCCTATATATTGCTAGAGAAACATAAATTTATCTGAGTGATACTAAATCTAGACAGTTGAGGCAACTAATTGTGCAACCAGTATCCTGACTTTGGCTCTTGTGTGCATTGAGAAAGATTGGCCTTTCTAATACACGTAGCCAATTTCTGAGAAAGCACAATGACTTGTGCAGTAATTCTTTAGAATGGAATAGTAACCATTTTAGAACTGTGGTTAATTGTTTCTATAAGTGTTGCATATTTGTGGACCTAGAGGAAAATAAATGGGCAAAGTACAGCATTCGTACATGACTTTCTTAATACTATGTGTGCAAACTGATGTCCTATTACAGTGTGTGTGTGTGTGTATGTGTATGCATGTACATCTATAATGCAACATTTAAATGGATGTGATATGTCCCTTCATTTATGAATGTGGATCTTTCCAGGATCTCAAAAACAATCTGAAAGTGTTGTTTCCTGAATGAATTGGGACTGATGTTAGACTCTGCCTTCTTTTTTTAGGTCAAGATACAAACGTGTCTCCATCCTCCATGTCTAATTCAGCGATAGCAACAACAACTTTGGATTCTTCAAACTCACCTCACAGCTCTCAAAATCCAACCACAGAAGTGAAGGAAGAAGCTCCATCACAAGAACATTCAGCACCTCACAGATCCATGGTGAATGGAATGTCTTCTTCAAAGACAAAATCTGAAGATGGCTTTGCAACAGCAACAGAAGCTGTGACACGTAGGTTTTGCTCACCTTACTCCCATCTTTCTTCTCCCCCTTCTCCCCCAATTCCCTCATACTTGTACACTGCTAAACCAGATCTTGGGAGTATGCAGTCAGCTGAAGATAGGGATGTAGGGCCACCACAATCATTATAGTTATTTATATACCAACTCTTTTGCACCATAGAACCAAAGGTGGCTATAAGGTGTTTTGTTTTTTGGTTGTTTTTTTTTACAGCACAGACTATTTGAAAGATATGTGGAGGAGATTGTGAGAACAAAATCATTGTTTTGCCAATATTTTGTCCCATTTTGAGGAGACAAAAAAATACCCCAGGTGGGGGAATTTGGAACAGAGCATCCAAAGAGCGTCACTCTCTGCAGTTTGGGGCCGGTGGATCACATGCAACCCACAAACCACATTTTGTGCATTCCTGATATACACCTAAGCATGACTCTAGACCTGGAAATGTCTTCACTTGAAGACATGAGGACCTAAAGGTTTGGTGGGGACTTGGTCCTGTATGTAATCCATGTTCCCTCCATACACCCAATAGTGCTTGAGTTCTTTCCTCAGAAATTTTCACCATGTGACACTGTGTGGCAAAAGTGTTTTGAATGTAGTGTGCGGTGATTTGTGCTTTTTAAAAAAATACATTGCTTTATATATCATTTTTTGAAATAAATGCAGGAAACCATTTTTAGGGGGTCAGTCTATGTTAGGTTCTGAGGATGCAAAATTAGCCATAGATAAGCTGAAGTCGCCCATCCATGGACTACAATTTCCATCGTTGTCCACATTGTCAGTGGCTGATAGTAGTTAAAGTCAAACACTGGAGATTTAAATGAAACAATAATCTCAATATAGAAAATGATCTCTGCCCATCACAATTATTTCCTGTATTGCCACAGTGAGAGAAGAAAGATCTTGTTAGATGGGAACATTTATCTAGAATTGTGTATTAACAAAGCACTATCACCTACAACTAATGCCCTAATAAATAAGCTTGGTTTTCAAGTTGAAGCTGACTCACATTCAATCATCTTGAAAGAGCTGTTAAGACAGGATGGTCTAGTATTGGTCTGGGATACTGACATGTGTTGTTACAAAGTCAAGATCAGAACTTGTCAATCATGTGAATAGTCACCAAACAATCATTTTTTAGTTTTGGAAGCTTTGGTGAAATGCATAAGGGAGCATAAAGACAGAAAATATCAAAAGCATAATATAGCCATCCCCTCACTCCAGCTCCTAGAATCACTCATTTATGATGGCTAATAGTGGCTATGGATCAGTGAGAAAAATTATTTTGACCTGTACTACAAAAATTCTTCTATACTTCTAGTGCCTTCCCTACACAAAGAAGGAGGCTTTGAGCTATCATTGTATGTGTTACAGTGTAACCTGTCAAGATGATTCCTCCTCCTCCTCCTCCTCCTCCTCCTCCTCCTCCTCCTCCTCCTCCTCCTCCTCCTCCTCCTCCTCCTCCTCCTCCTCCTCCTCCTCCTCCTCCTCCTCCTCCTCCTCCTCCTAGTTAATTCTGTTTTATGGCATTCCAATCTAGGATTACCATGTCTGAGTGGGAATCCAATCCTTGGTTTCTCAGAGTCCTAGTCCAACACTGAGATCACTACATTATAGAACTTGCTGGCTGTCAAGCTCTATTGAATGTTAAATTCTACTTTATTTCCCAAAAGGTCCTTCCCTCTCTAAAGTTGTACAAAATCAAGACATCTCCCAACTGGGACAAAGGAAAGCAGAAAAGCTTTGTATGAGACTTCATGTTGTGTGAACAGATATGTGAACGAAAGGTGACTAGAGAAAGCTGTCCTAGAAATGTTGTCACACTGCGATCACATGGCTGTCTGTGAGCATCTGGTGCTGGGCTGCCTGCCTGTTGATCTTCTGCATCGATGAGTCACTCTGTAGTCATGTTGCACCCTCTTTGGAAATGGAGCTTTCAGCTGCTTTGCTCCAGCTGTTTTGTCATCACTACTGTTCTGCTGTAGGTTTATACTCAAGCAGGCACACATATGTTGTTTGACAGTGGAATATGCTGTCTTCTCTGGAAGTTCTTAAGCAGATGCTAGGTGGGCATCTGTCAGGAATGCTTTGATTGTGTATTCATGCATCCAGAATGGGATTAAACTGAATAGCTCTTATGGTCTCTTCCAACTTTCTGATTCTATACATTGTGCCGTCGCGCCTGGGGGCTATTATTCTCAATAAAGGAGCGGTGGACGTGGCATCTTTCCCCCAGGGGATTGCTTCTTGCCCTCCTATAGGAAACTGGAACTCCCAAAAACCCAAAATGCTGTCAATAGCTCAAAATAAGTTTTATTTATCACAAAGTCATTTCTTCAAAGCAATGAGCTGGAAAACTTTAGAGGGGTGAAGGAAAACATACATTACAGRCTCAATRAGRCCTYGGRCCKAGGMSTTMGAAGCRGASAYYSCMCACCAAGWTTCCTCRRTCCTCAATGGCTGTGAATGCRBGAGCAAACCACAKCCCCAGTTCAGATGGCCTATGTTTTGAAGATTCAGGATCTTCCTTTGGTGCCAAAAGAACCGGCTTGAAGGCACCTGGGTCTCCTCAATAATTGTCCAGGACAATCTGGACATAAAGCATGAGTCCTAGGGGTAAAAAACCTCAGAACTGATGCTAAGAGGTAACTTAAATCAGGGTCCTTTAGAGTCAGGTCTCTTACTCACATCCATCTGGTACGAACTCTGATGGCAGAATGAAGAAAAAGGAAGCTCTCCCCTCATGCAGGAAGAGGTGGAGCCAAACAGTACTGATTGACAGCTACAAGCAACCAATCCATACAACTATACAAAAGCAGGATAAAAAGGGGCAGGATTAAGCATGATACAACAGTTTAAATCTTGCAACTAACAGTTCTATACATAGGTGGCGCCACTTCCGCCGTCACATGCATGGACATACATATAGCTGCTTTTGCTTAAAACTCTCCATGGGGTGATTAGCCAGAAAGAAAATCCGCAGAGAAAACCTTTGTGTTAAGAATATATATCTATATAAATAAAAATGTAATGTTCGTTGGTGGGATTAACATAACTCAAAAACCACTGGACGAATTGGCACCAAATTTGGACACAATACACCTATCAGGCCAACAAATGACCATCACTCATAAAAACACTGTAAAACACAGCAGAAGAGACTTAAAAAGTAAAAAAATAAAAATACATTACAGCGTATGCGCAAAACCACATATATATATGCAAACACCGCATATATACACACACATATACAGACAAATAGTACATATACACAGACTGGGCCACAGCAATGTGTGGCAGGAGATGGCTAGTTTCAAATATTTTCCTCTCCTTCTATAATTTACACAATTCTACATAGACACAGACACTATACTCCAGTTTGGAGGTTGATTGAAACCAACCTGTTTCACTATGTAGTGCCTACACAAACGCCACAGGAACTGGTTTGAGACTGAGATGGAAGTCACACTGCCTACTGATTGTTGATTAGAACCAAACCCAGGAATTGCAGTAGCTGCGGTAGACAGCTGCTAGAAAATGCAGTTTTTTCTTAAATAGTTCACTAAGATACACAGAGATATCCATTTCTGTTCAGGATCACCCTGGTTTCAAGCCCTACATGAGATATACTCTGATCAGCTGCAGCACATTATCTCATTGTGACAGACCTGCTAGTGAGTTTTTTAACACCCTGTTTCTAGCTTGATGCATACTGCAGTGTGCATTGGGGTATTGTGAAAACCTCGCAATTGAGCTGACTTTGGATTGGATTGTAGTGTCTGTGTAGAACCATTCTAGAATTACATCATTTCACTAAGAGTGAAGAGATTACTCCTTCATAGTCTGATATTGATCCATGAGGCAGTTCTATGTTCAAGAATATTTAAACAAGAAACATTTCTCTAAGTGTTGTCATGTTTAGGTGGCTTGAAGTTCACTTTTCATCTTTCTCGAGTATCAATATATTTTGATCCACATTCCTTTTGAGCCATTCCAGCCCAATATTTCTTGCTGCTTTCAGAACTTTTGCCTTCATATGAGGCAAAATAAAATGCCATCATGGAGCTGAACAGTATAACTACTGGAGTGTTGTGTTTGGATAAGGAAGGCACTGATTGAAATTTGGCTCCGTCTTGTTGCACACTACCTGGTCTTGGTTAGCTTATTTTACCATTCAGTTGTACCACCCAGAGCAACTGTGAGAATGAATGTAAAATTCTGCAATGCATTGGTGAGCTTATGTTCATATGTTAGACATTATTTTAATGTTATTAATATTTTAATTCCATTTTAATTGTGACTTTTTAAAACTGTGTTGTGTTTGTGTTGAATTATAATCCACTCTGAATCCCCCTTCTGCAGAAAAGGTCAAATAGCAATCATAATATCAATAATATCCTGCCCTTCGTCTTGAAAGCTTGGGCCAGTATATATATTGTCATAATATATATATTGCCGTAACATATTAATTTAGGCCATGAGCCCCTGGTGGCACAATGGGTTAAACCCTTGTGCCAGCAGGACTGCTGACTGAAAAGTCAGCGGTTCGAATCCAGGTAGCAGGGTGAGCTCCCATATGTCAGCTCCAGCTTCCCATGTGGGGACATGAGAGAAGCCTCCCACAGGATGGTAAAATATGTGGCATCCTCTGGGCAATGACCTTGCAGACAGCCAATTCTCTCACACCAGAAGTGACTTGCAGTTTCTCAAGTTGCTCGTGACCCAAACAAAAGTTTAGGCTGAGATTTTAAGTAATTCATGGAGCTTTCTGGCCAAACCAAGGATGCGAATTCCCTCTAGTCTAATGCAACTTCTGCCCTAGTTAACTGGGAAGTACAAGAAATATATAAAATATGTTCAACATAGTCCAAAGATCTGCATGTGGTCCTTATGCTATGCTAATGCATATATCCCCAGCCCCCAACATACTTTAAAGCCCCAAAGCAGCCTCATAAAAGTCTTCCATGCTTCAACATGAGCAGCCAGGATCA